GCAATCATTGGTGTGATGACCAACGTCATCATGATAAGCACAGATTTTATCTTGGTTCCGGTTGTTTGCAGAACCCTTCATGGGGACCGGCTTCTCAATTGAGATCCGTCCCTTTATTTCTTTTAGGATAAATTGGTTATCCTTGTTAAACACATACTTTGGGGAGTATGGTTTGAATTCTTTTTTCTTTTTCTGGGCCGGCTGTTTAGAGGAATCAGCCGCCCAGACCTCTTTTCTTTTCTCATCTTTGTTAGACGACTGTTTCTGTCGTCCTTCTCTTTTGTCGAACCTTTTCCCGTCCGACTGTTTTATCGTACACAGATCAGTCGCCTGTATATAGGCTTCTGCTTCAATCAAGGCCTCTTGAAGAGTCGCCACCCTTTTTCGAACCAAATCAAATTTGAAGGTAGACCCGTCTTTGAGACCTCTAAAAAAGTCGGTATAAGCTACCTCATCCGGTAACCCTTGAATCTGTATTCTCATCAGGTTGAACCGCCTGATGTAAGAACGAAGCCCCTCCTTCTCGCCCTGCTGAATTGTTCCCAAATCAAGGGTCGTTTTCTTCGCAGGGATGTTCATGGCGAAGTTGGAGGCAAATAAGTAAGCAAGCGTCCTGAAGCTGTTTACACAACCAGTCGGCAGGTTGCCGAACCATTGCTGTGCGATTCCCTTGAGAGTCGCTGGGAAACACTTGCACCAAGTGGGATCATCCAACCCTTGAAGGTACATCAGGTTGGTGAATGCCATCAGATGGTCTTCTGGGTTAGTAGTGCCGTCATAGGCGCCTACTAGTACATTTTTTACTTTGGCCGGCTGAGCGGCTTCAGTAATTTCCTTGGAGAAGGCCGACGGCTGTTCACCAAGTCTAAGCAACCGTAGCTGCCAGTCCATAGGTTGGACGTTTTTTACTGCAGGTCCACCAAATGGAGGTGGCTGCATAAAATACTGTTGTTGCGGCACAAATGGTAAGTTTGGTACCGCCAGGGCACTATGAAAGCCGGACTGACGGGAGGTGCCGCCTGACTGACTCTCATGGTACGACTGAGTATGCCTCATCGAGGCATTTCGCAAACTGTCTTGAAAGTCTGAAGTAGAAGCTGACTCTGACAATCGGTCACTCTTCTTCTGCTCTAGCAGTAGCCGAGCATCTGTGAACGTTTGCTTTGACCCGTCCGCCTGAATATGACGAACCGGTTTCCTATTTCCTGTAGGATAACGGAATTTTGTGAAATCAAGGGCAGGTGGCTCCCGCTTCCTAGATTTAGGATGAGGAGTCGCCTCTCGCCCTTGAACTGGCTTCCTCTTCAGTGAAGTGGAAGGTTTCTTGGCCGACTGCTCCGTGACTGAAGCAGGCGGCTTCTTGTTGATCAACTCTTGAATCTCTCCCTTGAAGTCCCTCATGAAGGTCATGAGTTCGTTTCTTGTGATGGGAGCAGACCCATCAGTCGGCTGTTGCCGAGCAGGCGGTGCGCCTGCTGGCTCGCTTCCTGTTTGAAGATGCTCCCGTTCCCTCCTTTCGGTATGACGGGTACGTCGGGCCCTTAGGGTCCCGTCTGGAGCTGTATGAGTTTCAACTTCAAATTCACTTTCGGTGTCATGGTCCGACTGAACTTGAGGGTCGTTTAGGGGACGCCTCTCTTCAGGAGTCGGTACAGACTTGGATGCCATCTCTGAAGTACTCTCCCCACAGACGGCGCCAAATGTTTCGGGGTTTTCTGATGTCCTGCGGGAGAGTTACAATTCCGAGACTGGAACCGGACGCCTGTACCTGCAAAATAACGGAGACTCCTGAGAGCTCCGCCTCCAACGGTCAAGTTAGTACCTGATTAAGGAGTAATTAATACGGAAATTAAAGTAATAAGATCTCTCTAGGTGAGAGTGTTTAATGTAGGTAATCTGCTTTGTTAGCGAGATTAGCCGGTTATTAGTGTGTTCCGTAATGTTTCTGTTCTTCTCTGTTCTTCAAGTGAGATTCATTGCTTCCTCCCCTTTAATGAGGATTAATTAAGTATTTATAGTCTTGAGAAGCGTGCCACTCTCTAGGTTTAGGGTAAACCTAGGGCTGACCGGGCCTCTAAACAGGATTGGGCCTTGTTGGCCGGTTTTCCCATTTGGCATGGGTGGACACGTGGCGTGTCTCAATTGGTCCGTAGAGGACGTATCTGTGATTGACACGTGGAAGACTCCTATTGGCCTACGTGAAGGACACGTGGCGGAACCTGGTTGGTCCACTTGTCAGACGGTGATTGGTGGATAAAAATCCCCTAATCACCTTCCATCCCTAAATTAAAAGCATCTTTCTCTTTATTACTTGTATGTGAGTAGTAAATGCTAGAAAGAGGCTTTGTATTAAGAGGTGTAGGGAGTAATACACATTATTTTTATTCAACCAACATTATTTTTATTCAATCACCATAATCTAAAGACAAAATTCAAAAAACATTTCAAAATAAACAATTAACATTATGTCACAAATAAAAGTTTATTATACTGACAATCAAAGAACATGAAGATAAAGAACATTATTTAACAGCATGTTATGTCCTTTACAATTATATAACATGTTCTTTTCACTTTAACTGAATGTCCTTAACATTTCTATACAATGTTATTTCTGCTCTTTACAATTTTTAACATGTTCTTTTCACTTTAACTAAATGTTCTTTACATTTCTATACAATGTTTTTTTTTTTTTTGAAAGGGATGCACCTGCGGATCGTGCATCCGCCTGCAGGAACCACGCATTACAATTTCCTATGAACAACCCGTGCATTGCACAATTAAAGACATCTATACTAAAAGGCGTTTCTAAAAATGTTAATGTGCCACGTAGGCCCTTTTTTTTTTTAATTATGACACGTCACCTTCTCAATATCTCATGATGCCACATGACCTTTAATAGTTGAAACTATTACGCCATGTCATTGACATAAAAACATAAGGTTGAGGTGATTCAAAAACCAAACCTCTTATAACAAGATGATTATTTAACTATATAAGCCAATATCAACCATGTTATTAATATGTTAAAAAAAATTATACAAGTGAAAAGCACAAGATTTGGTTTTTTTAAAAAATGATACTCAAAGAATAAACTAAATATTTATTCAATGTAACTATTACCTTGTATCTCTTGGGGATGAAAGATCTATCAAATTCATCTACATAAGTATAATTCATGAAAACTATAATACAATAACATATTACGTATGACTCGGGGCATCGTCCGGACTAAACATTAGTTGTGTTATAATAAATAGGCTCCTCATTGAAATTTGATTTTAATTTTATAAAAAAAAAGCAATTTTATTAATATAAGAACCAATTTTATTAATAAAAAAGTAAAAAAAAAAAAAAAAAAAAACTCTGTTACTTTAATTTATGTCCAGGTACAATTTTTTTTTTTTTTTTTTTTTTTTTTTTTTTTAATTGGTAAGGTGAATTAATTGGTAAGGTGAACTCTCACCTTGAGAGGGGCTTGAGATGGGGGAATAAGGGAAATCCTCCCAATGTGAGTTTAATTTGATGAGAATTGAACCCAGGTCTCTCACCTAGAATTCGAGACTTGGCTAGTTGAGCCAAGCCTCCTTCTCTCCAAGTAAAATACTAATTGTACACCCAATATTTTTGTCTAAATTACAATTTTTTAATTTTATTTTTGGGTGTAGAAAGAGTAATTGGGCAATGTTGTATACCAAATTTCATCCCCATTCTTGAGTACTATTCCCCAAAACTTAATATCAATGCGTTTTCTTCCCTTTTAATCTACCGTTTCCTTTTTGAATGCCTCAAGTGAGCACTTTCTAGTTTTGACCCTATAAGAACTTTTAAATCATTTATGCAATACACATTTATATGAACATATATATGACTGTGTCTTTTCACATACTTCCCTCGTTTCCCAAATATTGCAACATGGGGATCAGACAAGGAATATTTGTCTCAAATAAAAAAAATGTTACAATATTTATTGTTTAAGGTAAAAACAATGGGACCTTCGGCAAGGTCCTTTTCTATGGGTTGAAGACTGATCTCGGTCCAAGTGATGATTTTGGGCCGAGGGTTTCTTGCACAGCAAACACACGTAAAGTAGTCTCGGGGGTTTTTCCGAGAAAGGCCCCCCGATGCTAAAGTTAGTACGAGGTTTAAAGAGAGAAAGTTATGCAAAAGTATTAATTACTTAAGGCTTAATGTGAATGAATGTATAGAGAGAGAATTGAAGGCTTTAATACCTTTACTCAATAGATAGATAGGCCGTAAATCAAGTGAGCTTGTCACATTAACTCGATCTTGACTGATTTTGACATGGCTTGGAGGGTTAGAGTTAGCTTTGGGCTTTCTAATTGAATCATTTGTGGATCGACCCAATTGGAGTAAATTGGACCTAAATATTTGAGAAACTTCCTAAAATGATAATTGTGTCATATAAACTTCCTAAACTTCCATGCCCAACTCTACATTCAAGTATACAACGTAAGATTTGTTTCTCTTTTATGGCCATGTCTGGTAATTGGCTTTTTGGTTAGGTTTTGGCTTTTGGCTTTTTTCTTTTTTAGGTGGTCAAACAGTCAAAAAATATGTTTGTTAATTGGCTTTTTAGTCGGCGAAAAAGCTGGCTTTTAAGCCAAAATGAAAAAGCTTCTTTGAGTAGCTTTTTTGTTAGCTTTTGGTTTGTTGGCCCACAAATTATCTAATAAACAGCCAACAACCACCAATTAATTTACCAAACACTTTTATAAACAACCAGCTTAAACAGCCAATTTCAAAAGCCATTATAAACAACCAAACATTCCAGCTGGTCAAACAAGCCAAGTGAATCAGCCAACAACCAACCGCCAACAATCATTTGCCAAACAAGGCCTATGTGTTCAATAATCTAATACATTGAAATATATAATAAGTTAATAACCCAGCTTTTAGGATATAGAAATGATTGGATATAGCACAAGCTGACGTGGCAACACCATAGGCAATATGGGTATAATATGTTAAAATCGTTAAATTAAATATACAACCTCCACCACTCTTAACAATTGCTACTGATCTGAAGACAAAAGCTATGGCAGCTACATGTACTTCTACTTGGCTACCTGCAGCTGCATCAGTGATTTGCAGAAATCCATCATCCAAAATCAGCATGAATTTAACCCCAACACTACCTTATCATAGTAATAATAAGGTCTTGATTAGCAGCAATCCAAGAGCAACAAGAAGGTTGTCTACAAAGTTGAGAGCAGCTGGTTTAACGGATATCGAACCTGACCTCAATGAAGATCCTGGTGACCGGTGGGCTACGAATGGAGTTGATGCTGTTTGTCTCTCTTTCTCTCTTACTTTTATTTTTATTTTTATTTTTATTTTTCATTACACTTATATATGATGTATGATGATTGAGTGATTAGAGGTTTAGGACTGATTGAACAAATGTGGGTAGTTTGATATTCAAATCAATAGCCACATAGAGTATGTATGGAAAAAAAGTTGTCGCATTTCCTAAAATAAATCTAGATTACAGTTTGATTTATGAACATAACTCTACTTAGATAAAGCGGTGAAGGGAAGAGAGGGTGCTATGGTGAAATTGTGGTGATTCCTTTGAACAGGGCCGTCTCCGGAAATTCAGTGGCCCTGTTCTCTAAAATATTGGGCCCTTAAATTTTTAAAGAACTAATTTTAATACGTTAAAAATATTATTATTTTAAAATAACTTTATTTAGTATTAATAATACAAATTGAAGAGGAAAATATTCATATTACTAAGTTTAATAATAATTCAATAAAAAACAAATAAAAACTTTTTATTTAAAAAATGTCAACCTTCTAACATTCTTTGAAGCAAAATCCTTAGTTATATCTTTATCATTTTAATTTTGATTAGGAAATTAAAAGGCAAAATCAAAGATTTAAGATGAAATTTTGAGTTTTATTTTGAAAATGTTGGCCCTTTACGAGAAAGAAGGTGAATAGGTAAGTTATGATTTTTTTTTAACGAGTCATCATTTTTTAAAATTATGCGGCCCTGATTTTTTGGGGCCCTGTTCTGTGTGTGAGAAAAAACATGTCCAAAGACGGCCCTGCCTTTAAAATAGAGGATTTGGTATAAACTGAGTATTAAATAAGAAAAAACAGAGAAAATGATGGATAAATGAGCAATAATCTTTTACTACTATATGAATGTTACATGACTAGAAAGTTGTTATGATTCCAAATGCAGTTCTGTACCAATTTCATCGACGGTATAAATTGTGTTTAACTGAAATTGTTTCTTACTACTGTAAGAAAATGTGTTGGTTGAATTTGGTTTTTACTTCTGTCTGTAGGAAGATTTTATATATGGAGAATATGATGGACATCATACATATTTTGAAACTTCAGAGAAAGGTAGGGAACACTTGGTTGATTGATCTCCTCTTGTAAGTTGACTTTACTGCTTGTTTTTCGAAGAATATATTTGTCAGGAAGTGTATAGATTCTTTAGATCACATATATCAGCTTTTCTATAAAGCAGATCTAATTATTTAATACATACAACATACATACTTGTTTTGCGCTTAGGTACCAGTTATGTCAAATTTTGTTGCTACATGTGCATCAGTGTATGTATAATAAGGAGTTATCAGTTTTACAGGAAGTTGCAGTTCTAAAAGAATTTCAGGGAAAATTATACAGGAAATACTTGACATCATTTCCTGAAAGAAAAATAGAGGATATAGCAACCTTTTGTACATATTGCAAGAGTTCACGGATGAATTAACTTCATGTTTTATGTATAAATTGCATGCTGCTGAAGTGAAGTGTCATTTATTTACACCCGTTTTGATTCCAGTTAACAAGATCATATAAATACACTTTCTGGTGATCTATTTCAGGAACATTTTGGGGAGCAGTGGCTGAAGAATATAATGCCATGGAACCACCTACTGGTTTCCAAGGTTTGTTATTATTCTCCGATTCTCTATATATGATAAACTGTAAACTTCACACTTATCTTGATTGGCAGGTCTTATTTCGTGGCTGTTCCTTCCAGCAGTTGCTGCGGGGATGTATTTCAATGTTCCGGTACTAAATTGTCTGCAATAATAATTCACTACCTACATTAAAGCTCACATATAGAGATAAATAAACTAAGCTTAAACTTTTGTCTCCAACTTGTAGGGGGAGTATCTGTACATTGGAGCAGGACTATTTACAATCGTATTCTGCATAATTGAGATGGATAAACCAGACAAACCTCACAACTTTGAGCCCCAAATATACAACATGGAAAGAGGAGCTCGTGACAAGTTGATCGCTGATTATAATACTATGGACATTTGGGACTTTAATGAAAAATACGGAGAACTCTGGGATTTTACTTTGAAAAACGATGATATAGTAAAGAGATAATTGTCAGGAAATGACATTGGTTTGGGATATTTCCAACTGATATGCACAGTTGAATCAGGTATATTTGTCTGATTTCTTCAGTTAAGATTTTTAACCTTGTCCAATGATTGGACTTTGGTCAGAGTGTACAAATTGAATTAGTGTCCACCATAAAAATTGAAAGTTGAAGCTGCTGAGCACAAATCATGGCCTTACTATTGTCAGTTTGTCACAAAAAAAATTGTATGATTGTAAATAATGAATTCATATAAATATTATTCTGTGGGTAATTCATGATACTATATTTGTTATCAGAAGAGTGCAGCATAGTATTTTATTTTGCAGCATAGTAGTTAATTTTGCTATGTGATCTGATTTACCTACATAAGTTTTGTAATATAACAAAGTCCTCAGTCCTCACTATTGTATGATTGTTGTGGATATGCTTTCGGGAATATTTGAATGAAAGAAAATGCTACGAGTAGCTAATTGGGGGGATGGCAATCTATTTTTCTGAGCAGCAGGCCTTTATCTCGATTCTCTGATTCTGATGTAAAGCAGACAGTGTATTAATGTGGCGTTAATTTTTCATATGTAGCTAGAATATTTAGCCTCCTTAGTTTGAAATTGTTTGGTTGATCCTGAGGTACAATGGCATTATAATGTCATCCTGGAAAACTACTATTGTTTAACTTATGTGATTTTTGCACAAAGCAGAACGAATTCCAATCTTCAGAATACCATATCAGACGTCAATGTAATGACACGATCTTACTTATACGACATTAGATTACTCCCGTTTCCCTCCTCTTCCCCAAACACCCCCCCTCTTAAAATGTGAGGACTTCAGAATTCAGACATGAATATATTGATGAATGTTTGGAAGCACTCAAACCATTACAGGGCTTGTTTGATACCACTACAGAAAAGTTAATCTTATATACAATTATCCTTGGAATATTATGCAATTAAACCATGCACAATATACAAAGTATAGATTCATTACTATGAATCAAAAACCTCTGCAGTTTCAGATTTTCAATGACTTATTTACAAACAAGCTCTGGAAAAATGTAGCTAGTGGAACAAAGCATGAACTAATAGAACTTATTACAAAATCTAGTCCAGTTTTCCTCTGAGTCTTGACTGACGCTTTCAGCATCAGAAAAAGCTAGCAAACCTTCAATATCTTCTCTCAGCTACAATGATATCTAATTTCCTGTTTCTTAAATTTTTGGTAATTATAGACACTATACTTACTAATTGAATCCTGATTATGTAATTTTTATATCTTTTTATGTATTTTATGCTATATAGTATATTTCACTCATAGGTATTATCATACGGAAGTATAAACATTCAGTCCACCATCATGGTGTATTGTAAGTCATCATACCTCAACTAGGTTCCAGCAGATGATGAATTGGGTAACCAGGAAAAGAGTTGGCTAGTTAAGCCTGGGTGAATGCATGAGCTTCTCCTCGTCAGTGAGGGCATGGCGAAAGTGACAGCGATGACCATAAGGGCAGGGATCACCAGCAAGGACCATGCGACAGACCTCAGTCTTGTAGCGAGGGTGACGGATGACAGGGCGAAGCTCCTCAATGCCATGAGCAAATTGGCAATGATCACCATAAGGGCAGGTCTTAGTCTCTTGCCATTTGTTGCATAGCTCAGTCTTGAACATGCCTTGATTGTAAACTTCCAGCTCAATTGGTCCGTTTTTGTTGCTCCCTCCTCGCACATATACCTTTTGCTGTACACAGAACAAGTTAAGCAAATTATTGCAGTCCTCATGAGATCTATAAGATAATGCAGGAATTAGAATTTTACATAAATCAGATGGTATCTAAAGGCAAGTGTTTTACTGCTATGTACTGATCTGATGTCCAAAATGATAGACTGTATAAGATAACAATTGATAATCTAAGAAGATAAACGGGCCAAACAACTCAATCCCAAATGATTTCTCAATGATACCAAGCCAAAATGAGAAGCAGAATTGACATCCAGTGAGAAGACTGAGAACCTCAGAAATACTCTTATCCCAAAAACAACAAACTACTACTACACATTAAAGCTTTTTAGCAAGTCTTAAAATCAAACTGAAGATCTTCAGCATGCCAATTAATCACCAGACTTACTATGTTCTTTCTTATAACCAAAATTGTCAACGTAGTTAGTGAAATCCTGCAATTACTTGACAAAATGAGAGGCAGAATTGAAATCCAGTAAGAACTTCAGAAATACTCTTATCCCAACAACAACAAATTACAACTATGCATTGAAGCTTTTTGGTGAGTCTTGAAATCAAACTGAAGATCTTCAGCATGCTAATTAATCACCAGACTTACTATATTCTTTCTTATAACTAAAATTATCAATTTAGTTTAGTGAAATCCTGCAACTACTTGAAAATTCTCAAGCGATGCTTGGATCATAAGCCCAGCCCTCAGGCTAATACTACTTGAGTAAATTTAACAACAATGATCAGCACAAGAATTTGGTTGCTAATCGTATACACATTACAAAACACGGGTAATGCACAGGATGCAGTCCTTAGAATACTGTCCTTTTGAAGCAATATGACAAAGAGTAATTCAAAATCAGTATAAAATGACTAATACTACTATCTTTGAGGTCCAAAGACAAATAAATCTGAGCTAGTAAATTATAAACTTACTTCAATCTAAAGCTGATCTTAACATATCTACTTAAGCCAGTCATATCAAAGAAAAGGACAGGTGAACTATATTTATTTATTTTTACTTGATATTCACATTTCAGAACTCTAAGTATAATAGTGTAAGCTCTGTGTTTATCAAAGTTCAGGACCATGAGTAGTACAAGTACTGCATCATCAAGTACAAAATCATGATTGCTTACAAATTAATGCTTCGTATATAGATTTAAGACATCTAACTGGCTTTCGCACACAAAACATAAACTGCAAATCACAAACAAGTCAATTACTAAGCTAATCTTTACATGTTTTGCTACATGTAAAATAGAATATTACATAAGTTCATTTAACAATTAACAGTTTAACACCATAAGTTCATCTAATGATGTGTGCTAGTTAACAAATTTGAACTGATTAGCATGAACGCTTAGCCAATCAAATACTCCGTACATAACAAAGGTGATTCCTGAGTTATTTGATCCAAAATCTTAAGTTTTAACATTAACTGATTAACTATTTAACTTGCGGTCTTTTGCAACGAGGCACGACAACAGCAACAATAAAAATAAAAATTCCTAGTTTTGTCACAGTAACACCATCACAGCAGCAACAAGATAAATGTATCAACTTTTAGTCCCCTTAACAATAAATAAAGTTACCAACAGCCATTGCCTAACATTGAAATTGATATTTTTCTTTTTTCTTTCTTTTGACAGGACATTCAAAATCATGCTACCACATCACCAATTCTAAAGATAATTTGGTCACGTAACCACCATAGCAACAATCAACCAATGTAAATTCAACTTAACCATTCATGCACCAAACAACCATTACATAACTTCAAACAATTAATCATGAGTATTAACCATATAATAATACTTAAAAACAAAATTATAATTAAAGAAACAGATAATCCAGAAATTAAAAAGTAAATATCAAGTTTAGAAGCATACCGGTCCAGACACTTTGCCTGAAGATCGAAGCGGAGTCACAGACCGAGCTGGAGTCGAATCCTTCTGAGTTGAACCAGCAGCAATCTGATTCATCTTCACAAATCCATTAGACCTGACTGAGATACTCTTAGGCAGAGCAACACGAGCATTTTCCTCCTTCCAATCCTCCTTTTGACTCTTCTCATTCACAGTAGGTCGATTCTGATTATTACTGCAGAATCCTTCATCCCAATCTCCACTCACTCTCTCCTTCTGGAAGCTTCCATTGCTACTTCCATTGCCGCCGCCTAACTTCTCAGCAGCCGCTGAGAGAGATGAAGAGCCGAACTGCTCCGGATAATCAGAAAACGGCATAGCTAGGTATCTGCTCTGGAGACTATCCTCGATGAGGAGGTCGAGTTGGTTGCTCAGCTCAAGATTTTCGAGTCGGAGGTTAGTGTTCTCTTGCCGGAGAGTCTCTGCTTCATTGAACGTCTTCTGAAGCTGAGCGAGGCAGACAGAGTGGCGACTGAGCAGCTCCTTGTGTTCCGCCATTATCCGAGAGAGGCTTCTCAAAGCTATAGCGCTGATGTTGTCGGTGTTTCTGCCGGAATTGCCGTCGGAATTGACTGGAGTTGAGTTGAAGCTCGTCGGAGAAGTAGCGGAGTGGAAGAAAATGGAGTACGGCGGTGGAGTGAACATATCTCCGGCCGATGACATCATATTTGACGAGGCGGAATTGTCTTGCTGCATTTTCCGATATCTGCTGGAAAAATTGAAGGAGAAAACAGAGCAATAATATTTCAGTGATTAATTCTTAGGGTTTTCCACAATGCAGATGATCGAATCACATAATTCGATCGTAATTTCACAGTGAACTATTGTAATCAGAAACTAATTGATTGAATTTAGCCAGAAAATTACTACATTGCGAGTTATAAGCTAGTAGGAAAATCAAAAACTCATCTGAAATTGCGATCAAAATCAACAAAAACGAATTCAAAAATTAGCGAAATGCTTAAATCATCAAACACATTTATTTCTGCAGAATAATTTATACACTCCTAGTAACCTAAAACCTCGAATTTCAACGAAGATAAAGGAGATTAACAATCAATAATTAGCAGAGGATCATGTAAAGGTTGAAATTCAAAAACAACTGAAATTGCGATCAAATTCAATTAAAACAATACATAAATCAGCGAAAAGTTTCAATTATCGTAAGAGTTTGTTACAGCAGAATGAATTAAACACTCTCAGTAACCTAAAACAAAAAATTTCAACGAAGATGAAGAAATTAACAATCAGAAAATAGCAGAGGATCACTTACAGGATGAATTTCTTGATAATCTACTTCGAAATTAAGATGAATAATAGCGAAAAGAGTTTCTTCTCAGAAAATGGAGGAAAATTTTTAGAGAGAGAAAGAGGAGTTGGGAAGAGAGAGAGAGAAAGGCGGTGAATGAGAGAGAAGGAAATGGGCGGGAAGAAAATAAAGAAGGGAAAAATCCGAATTTTGTTGGTTGTTATGGCTTTAGTCAATTTGTCAACGCCGGAATGAGAATTACCGTCAATGGTGAATTGATGAGCGAGACTATAATTTAACCGTATTGTCCCTGTCTTTCTTTGGATGTCAAGAGGTATTACATACGAATTTTTAAATTTTTATTTTGTAGAGCAGTAAAAAATGATGATTACAAATTATATAACCAATTAAGTTAGATGATGATTATATGGTTACTCGATATTTTGATGTGTCTGCAAAGATAGGTTTATTAAATTACCTTTCTAACGATTAAAGCTTATTTGTACCTAAGTTTCAAACAATGATAACTTCCCTGCCTCTGATCCTTGCTCTTTGTTTTCTTTATTGTTTAAAGTGGTAATTAGAATTAGACTTGGTGAATAATATTGAATCAATATTTTTTTTTTGGTGATAGAGAGCCACAAGGGCGGATATTTGATGACATCATACTTTAATGTTAATCATTATTGTTGGTAAAATAACTGTTGAAATCAATAACAAACAAAAAGATTAGAACTTTCCTGGATTGAAGATCCCAAACTCACAGTCGCGCCGTGGAACAAAATCCACTGCCTTAGAAGCGAAATACGCCACCACCGGTACAAGTTTCCTAGTGACGCACGCCCCCCAAGTTTAACGCAACTCTCTCCATAATCCGTGCACCCGAACTCGAAGAGTGGAATTGCTCAAGAACTGTTCAGATCTCAAAAGGTAGGTTTGTGTTTTCGGCTAGAAAGTGAATGAATCTCATAAAAAGGCAAGACTCGTATTTATATGAATCCCGGAAAAGGAAACACGCAAAACAAACCGACCTATGAAAAAAGGCGGGCCCGATCGGGCGAGCTGCCGCCCGATCGGGCGCGAGATTAAGTTTCTCCAGACCTGGTGTCGCGCCCGATCGGGCGAACACCGCCCGGTCGGGTGATCTAGAAACCCCATCCCGGGCGAGCCATCGGGCGAAGTCGCCCGATCGGGCTCGTCAAAAACTCGAGTCCGCCGCCCGGTCGGGCGAAGGCCGCCCGATCGGGCGCGAGAGTTCTCGTCAAAAACTCTTGTCCGCCGCCCTGTCTGGCGAAGGCCGCCCGAACGGGCGCGAGAGTTCTCCTATTTTCCTTGATCACCTCCGCCCGATCGGGCGCGAGCATCCGTTTGCATTACCTATTTCCAACAATCCCCCACTAATGCGAGCGGATCTTGAACATGAAATCTGAACAGTAAAAGAAAGTCTTAGTACTTAAATGCTAGTATCCAAAGGTTTGAACTAACACATTAGTGCACAAGGTTTTCAACACTTCCCTAGTGAGTATACTAAGATTTGAACTCCTAGGAGCGAGGAAGGGACCTTGAATACACATACCTTGACTTTAGAGCTTAAGCAACTCCGCCAATCTTGGCCAACACTTGGGCTCTCATGAGTACTTCAGGAAAACAATACTCCAGTCTTCCCTTGAGAGAGGCCACCTCTCGTACTCACGTAGGTGTTCATCCTATGTGTTATTCACACACGTTCCCAACAAATTCAAAGGTCTTTCCCTGCAGGCTTAAACATGTTTAAGCTCCTTGCAAACCAGAGAATTACATGCAATGGAACTAGAACATTAAGAACATAAGTTCAACCCTTCAACTTTCGGTGTCATCATCTATCCTGTTTTAAGAACTAATGGGACAAAGGTCTTAACTCTCTTAAGAACCTCAATCTATCCTTGCTCAGAAAACAACTGGACTAATGACATTAAGAGACAAACTCATCCTAGCATAATCTAACTGGTAAAACTTACCACTGTTATAGAGTAATAGATTCAAACACATGATACATAAATAACAAATCCACATGATTCATGCCAATGAAACAAACAAACCAAAACAGGTTCCAGATTTATTAAAACCAATGTATCATGTCACATAGCTAGTATAGCTACCATTTCAAGTCATTACAACATAGGTCCTAAACCCATACCAGTTGATGACTCCACCACTAGTCTACGACTTAATCCCTTAGTAAAAGGGTCTGCCAGGTTTTTCTCTGTTCGAACATAGTCCAACGAAATAACCCCATTCATAATAAACTGCCTCACAGACTCGTGTCTGACTCTTATGTGCCTTTTCTTACCATTGTAAACGCTGTTTTTAGCAACACATATAGCAGCTTGGGAATCACAATGCATAGACACAGGTGGTGACGGCTTCCTCCACAAGGGAATATCAATAAGAAAATTTCTCAACCAATCTGCCTCTTGTGTAGCAAGATCCAATGCAATGAACTCAGCTTCCATTGTTGATCTAGCTATACACGTCTGCTTTCCAGACTTCCATGAAACTGCACCCCCACTGAGGGTAAACACATAGCCACTTGTAGAGCTTGTTTCATCACTATCCGTTACCCAATTTGCATCACAATACCCTTCAAGAACCAAAGGATGACCATTAAAATTCAATCCCCAAGACACGGTTCCACATAGATATCTGAGCACACGCCTCAAAGCAACCCAATGTGGCTCACTAGGACGATGAGTATAGCGACTAAGTCTACTAACAGCAAAAGCAATATCAGGGCGATTGCAGTTCATCAAAAACATCAGACTACCAAGAACCTTAGCATATTCAGTTTGAGACACACCGTCCCCCACATTTTTCAACAAAGTTCCAGAAGGATCAAAGGGAGTTCTCAATGGAGGCAAATAAAAACAATTAAAGTTCTTTAGAATTTTCTCCACATAATGAGACTGAGACAGAAAATACCCTTTCTTGGTTTTAGTAACTTTAACACCAAGGATCACATCTACCTCTCCCAAATCCTTCATCTCGAACTTCAAAATTAAATACTTCTTAGTTTCATTTATGACATACATGTTTGTGCCAAACAGGAGCATGTCGTCAACGTACAGGCATAATATCACACATTGCGCACCAAACATCTTAGAGTACACACATGCATCACTACCATTGACAACAAAATCAAAACTAAGAACAGTTTTATGAAATTTTTCATACCATTGCTTCGGAGCTTGTTTCAAGCCATACAAGGACTTCTTTAGTCTGCACACCTTATTCTCCATCCCAGGAACTACAAAACTCGGAGGTTGCTCCATGTAGATCTCCTCCTCCAAATCGCCATTCAGAAAAGCTGTCTTAACATCCATCTAATGCACAATCAAGTTGTAAGATGAAGCTAAGGCAAACAAAACACGAATAGTGGCAATTTTAGTCACTGGAGAATAAGTATAAAAATAATCAAGGCCAATTTTTTGAGTGAATCCTCTTATCACCAATCTAGCTTTAAACCTTTTCACGGTGCCATCGGTTCTCATTTTTCTCTTGAAAATCCACTTGCACCCAATAGCTCTGCTCCCTTTTGGCAGGTCCACAAGTTCCCAGGTTCCATTTGACATGATTGAGTCAAGCTCACTGTTTACAACTTCCTTCCAGAAGGATGCATCTACTAAACTCATAGCTTTTTCAAACGATTTCGGATCTTCATCCACAAGCTGTAGACACAGCATGATCTCATCTAGATCATCTTCGAATTCACCTAGATTTCCGCACTCTGCTATAAAGGCTGTTAGGAAATCAGGTCCAAAGCTTGTCTCCACTCTTTGCCTTTTACTTCTCCTAGGTTGAATCTCACTTTCAATCCTAGGGGAAGCATCTCCTGGCTCTGCAGATGAAGAAACTGAAGAAACATCGTTAGTAACTAAGTTTTTCTTCAAAGGAAATACATGTTCAAAGAACTCTGCATCACGAGATTCAGATATGGAGCGATCTTCCAGACTCATAAACCTGTATGCGGCACTATTCTCAGCATAACCAATGAATACTGTATCATAGGTCCTGGAACCTATAGTTGAGTGCTTGAACGATGGATAGCCCACCTTAGCTAGACACCCCCACACTTTCATGTGATTCAAGTTTGGGGCATAACCCTTCCATATTTCATATGGAGTCTTGTCTAACTTCTTGTGAGTTACTCTGTTCTGTACATAATTAGCTGATAGAACCGCTTCACCCACAAATTGTCTGGCAACCCGGAACTTAGAGCATTGCATTCATCATTTCCTTCAAGGTCCTATTTTTCCTTTATGCCACACCATTTTGCTGCGGAGTCTACGGGGCCGATACTTCGTGAATGATTCCCTCACTTTCACATAAGTCTTTGAGGAAATCGGAGCCATACTCTCCACCCCTATATATCTGAGCGAACTCTCTTTATTTTCCGCTCCAACTGATTTTCTACTTCTGCCTTATACACAAGGAACTTGGACTCAGCTTCATCCTTCGTCCTTAAAAGATACACCTTGCTATATCTCGAACAATCATCAACGAAGGTGATATAGTAGCGTTTCCCGCCTCTACTTTCCAAGTTCTTAAAGTTTGCTAAATCTGAATGAAGTAGCTCAATTGGTGTGGTCTCTCTCTTCGTGATAGATTTGTAGGGTTTCTTCACGAATTTAGACTCCGCACACACTTCACATTTTTCAAATCCATCTAATGACATATTTGGGAGAAAATTTAAACTTTTCATTTGTTTCAATTTTGTTGCACCAACATGACCCAATCTACTATGCCATAATTCAAAGGACTCAACAATATAAGTAGAAGTAGAAATCTTATTCATTGAAGGAAAAGTTACAATCTCAAGAATAAATAGGCCCCCACTAAGGTAACCCTTTCCAACATACTCCCCATTACGGGTTAACACAAGTTTATTAGCATAAAAAACTAACTTAACTCCTACTTTGTTCAACAAAGCACCAGAAATTAAATTTCTATGAAGAGAAGGAACATACAGCACATTGTGAAGAGCCAAGATTTTCCCTGAAGTCAGTTTCAGAACCACTTTTCCCTTTCCAAGTACCTCAGAGCTGCTTGAATTTCCCATGTAGACTTGTTCACCTTCCTTTGCATCTTCCATACTGACAAACAGGTCCTTGTTAGCACAGAAGTGTTTAGATGCAACAGTGTCCACGATCCATTCACTGTTGTTCTCAACCAGGTTGACTTCAGAAACAACTGCAGCAATGATATCTTCATCCTCATTCTCAACCAGATGAGCATGACCCTTGATTCCTCCACTCGATTTCAGATTTTTCTTCTTCTTGTTTTTGCATTGTGAAGCAAAGTGCCCCACTTCACCACATGACCAACACTTGACAGTGACTTTCTTCCCAATCTTGCCCTTAGCTTGGTGATTTCCCTTCTTCTCAGAGCTCCCCTTCTTGGCACGATTATCACCTGCTTTCTTGTCAGAGTCAGCACCAGATTCAACAAGGTTAGCCTTGATTGCTAACACATTCTTTGGCTTTGAGGAAACATCCTTAAGCTTGTTGGCTTCCTCAATCTTCATGTGGCTCACAAGTTCTTCTAGGGTTAAATCCCTCTTTTTATGCTTGAGGTGATTTCTATAATCAGACCAGGAATCAGGTAATTTTTCAATCAAAACATTAGCCTGAAGGATTTCACACATCTTCATACCCTGAGCAAGAATTTCAGCAACATAATTTTCATACACATGGACTTGGTCCATAATAGGCTTTGTATCAAGCAATTTGAAATTCAACCAATTTCCAGTCACATACTTCTTTTTTCCAGCATCATCAGCACCATATTTCTTCTCTAAAGACTCCCACATCTCCTTAGCAGATTTCATATTAACATACAAATCAAATATGTTGTTTTTCATGCTGTTCAAAAGATGACCTCTAACAAATTTATTATCACGATCAAATTTCTTGATTTCAGATTCATTAGCAATAACAGTAGTGGTCCTTTGACTAGAGCAAGATTCTTTATTCCCAGGAACAAGAGTACTAGGAATTTCAATCATGGTATTGGTTTGCTCAATAGGTTTTGGAGCATCCCTAAACAAAACATAATCAATTTCTACTTGTTCAAAAGCAATCAACATCCTTTGTGACCATCTTTTATAATTAATTCCATCAAGAGACTCAACCTTAGACAGATCTAGGTATAGACGAGTTTGAGAATTGCTAGTCATGATATCAACAGAATAAATCAAAATATTTCGCTTCTAAATTGTTGGCAAAATAACTGTTGAAATCAATAACAAACAAAAAGATTAGAAATTTCCTGGATTGAAGATCCCAAACTCACAGTCGCGCCGTGGAACAAAATTCATTGCCTTAGAAGCGAAATACGCCACCAACGATACAAGTTTCCTAGTGACGCACGCCCCCCAAGTTTAACGCAACTCTCTCCGTAATCCGTGCACCCGAACTCGAAGAGTGGAATTGCTCAAGAACTGTTCAGATCTCAAAAGGTAGGTTTGTGTTTTCGGCTAGAAAGTGAATGAATCTCATGAAAAGGCAAGACTCGTATTTATATGAGTCCCGGAAAAGGAAACACGCAAAACAAACCGACCTAGGAAAAAAGGCGGGCCCGATCGGGCGAGCTGCCGCCCGATCGGGCGCGAGATTAAGTTTCTCCAGACCTAGTGTCACGCCCGATTGGGCGAACACCGCCCGGTCGGGCTATCTAGAAACCCCATCCCGGGCGATCTAGAAACCCCATCCCGAGCGAGCCATCGGGCGAAGTCGCCTGATCGGGCTCGTCAAAAACTCGAGTCCGCCGCCCGGTCGGGCGAAGGCCGCCCGATCGGGCGCGAGAGTTCTTGTATTTTCCTTGATCACCTCCGCCCGATCGGGCGAGGGCCGCCTGATCGGGTGCGAGCATCCGTTTGCATTACCTGTTTCCAACAATTATTTGGAATTAAATGTAGTTGTAAACCTATAATATTGTAATTAATATTGTTGGTTTACCAATATATATAATATTTCCTATGTAAGACAAGTTTTTTTTTTTTTTTTTTATTATTATTATTTTTTTAAACTATTTTTCTTTCCTATCGTATCTCTTATTTTCTTTATTCCTTAAACCTTCATGATCTCATTCAAGGAATCAATTCATTAGGTTGACATAAAAAACCTACAAATTAATGAACTCTTATAATTCGTTGATCTAGGCAACTCTTCACCTCGAATTAACTATAATAACTTAAACTTATATATATATATATATATATATATATATATATATATATATATATATATATATATATATATATATATATATATATATATATATATATATATATATATATTCCAAAAGAAAAAAAAAAAAGGTTAGCAATGGTATATTTAATTTATGAAGGAACTATCAACAATGTTGCCTTGATTAATTTTTTGAAATTAATTTAAAGTTGTGTCAAAAAAAAAAAATTAAAGTTATCGATCGAATATATTGAACAACTATGACAAATGATCAACGTGAAAGAGTATCCATGTGTTTTGGCCCTTTTAGGGGTGTTTTGCTTGTCTATGACAACTATAACAAACAATGGAAGTGTTTGGTAATAAGCATGGTCCATTGATCTCTTTTAGGTCTTCCAAATTTCATGATTTCAATTAATGTCAACGGTTGTTAATTCTCGGGCCACAATTCTTTTTACACAATTAATATCTTTATTTTCTAAATTTCATCAAAACCATTACTACAAGCCTACCTTTCTCTTAGAAGAAACTCTCTATTTTAAATTAAATTCCAACATTTCAAAGGCCATGGTAACCTATTTATGAAAGGCCCTTAGTGTGGAGTAGTCTCAATCAGTAGCGTATTCAGGAATTTCGAACTGTGGGTTCGGAATCTTAAAAAACAAACGATGCTCATATATTAATTAAATATTCAATATATAAGTTCAAATTTTTTATTACAAATAGATGGATTAAACAGTTACAAAATAATAAATAATAAAAAAAACCCTTCAAAAGCATTCTTCGAGTTTTATACTTTGAAAGCGTGCTAAAATATTACTACTTCTATAAATGATAAATCTATAATTATATTGCAAAAAATCAATATTACACGAAAAACAAAAATCCCAAGTCCCCAATAAACACAAATTTGACAATGATTTTTTTTTTTCTAATTATCAATTAAAAGACCAAGTAAAAATTTTAAATTTTAAGTTTCTAAATTCAATTTGTACGTCAACAATATATCAAAACTAATTAAACAAATCAATAATTAATCTAATTATCACTAATTTACAAACAAATAAAGATTTAAGAATTAAGAGGAGTAGAGGAATAAGAGGATTGTTGAAACTAATACGTACTAAAGGATAAAAACAATAATAATATTAGATAAGTATGAAGCAAGTAAAATAAAGAACTCATAACATTTCTTCATGCTTAATTCACCAAATACAAGAGCCATATATGTAGGCTAACAAACAACAAATAATAAGCTAAAAAATTGAAAGTATAATGCCATGATTAAACCCACTAAATAAACTCATTAACTTCTAAATTCATTTGACTCTCTAACTTAACAAAATGACCAACATACTACTCCTAAAATTATTGACCCAACTATGGACTAACTCATGAAGAACAATGGAAGAAATCGAAAGGGGGGGGGGGGAGGGAAACAAAAAGACAAAACAAAAAAATGAGGGTAGCTGGTCTCGAACCCATGATCAAGAGGAGCCTCGTTACTCTATTAGTCACTCCCTTACCAATGTTTTTTTTACTTCACAAAAATTTGTTTTAACCTTATTTTTTTTCTTTTTTTTAAAAAAAAAAATATCAAAACTTATAATTTTTTTTCAAAAAATCTGGGGGTTCAATGAACCCTCTTGAACCCCCCTAGATCCGCCCATGGTCTCAATATGTACAATTCTTACCAATAAACTAGGTATTACATGGTGTTAATATATATATATATATATATATATATATATTTAGAAAAATAAAATTATCCATTCATATTTTGTTAGAAATATAACTAGCTTTTGGTACAATTGCTACCAAATTAGATATATGTTAAATAAATAATAAAAAAATCTTTAATAAAAGTAACTATGAGATTGATGAAATCTAAAGAAACTTTTTAAACTTGATCAATTTAACATTGAAAAGCATATCATGCATTTTATTTGTTACTCCGTAAAGTATTTTGCGAGTATATTATTTGAAGTGTCCATGTACACACATAAGAAATTCACAAATACATTTAGTACTGTATCATAATATTTGATCATTTTATGAATATAATTAATTACACATTAATAAATTTTACTCGTATTTAGTATATATTGATAACACGTTAAATCAGCCTCTAATAAAAGATAATTGCCGAATTTGGGAAAAACAACAATAAAAGGTACAAGTAATAATACTCGTAATAACAAAGAATGAAAAAAGAATACATATATAACAAGGCTAATTTTAATTAGAGTTATATAACATCCGAAGCATTTACTATAAGCTTAATGAAAACTTGCTTTGGATTTCTCATTAATAATGTAAACTAATAATACAAACTGTGTAATTTCCCTTAAGCTAGTAAAATGGCTAAACCCTAATTAATAAAAGAAAAAAACAATAAAATGACCACCTGTATTACGTTACTCCTATGTCTTTGTTCTAACTAACAAAGATTCAAGATCAAACACCTTGGCCTCTAACATCTCTCGCAGACGGCAACTCGAATCGACAAAGTGGACAGAAGTGATTAATCTTGAACCACTTATCAACACAACCGGGATGAAAGCAATGTTTACAAGGCGTGTACTTGACATCATCTCCTACTTTCCATCCTTCAAGACAAACCGAACAAACTTCACCACTATTAGCCAACTCTTCACTAGCTTTCTTGATCTCCAAGCTTGCCACGAATGACTCGTCCGCAGGCACCACACCCGTCGGTATTATTACTCCATCTTCGCTCATCGTGTCTTCAAGGCCATCTATGAGTAATGTATATATTATCTCCAAGATGCGGCTTGCTGTGGTGGCAATTCTTCTCGTCTCGCTGTCGTACCAGAGTTCTGTTAGATCTTCCAAGTCCATGATATAATCCTCCAAGGCAGGAAGATAAAGAATTAGGTCACCGAGTTGTTGATAATCTTCGCTTAATGATGACATTGTTTACTCAATTATGCTAATGACGATCGAAAGTTACGATGTGCGTACCAAAATACAATATAGACTCGCAAATAATGAGCCTACACTTTTTTTTAGTGGTATTGCAAGAGTATTGATGAAAAAATATTAGTAAGTTTTGATGGTTTATATAATAATAAATTAATGAGAAAGCAATGTATCGATCTTGTGTGTGGATAATGATAGGGTATAGTATATTTTGAAATGATAGGATTAATTATGCTAAGTAGTTTTGATTAGTTTCCAAAAATAAAAATGATCAATGTTTTTTTAAAAAATAAACATTTATTATTATTATTTCAAAATAAAATTAACTTTAACAAACTTGCTCAACATAAAATGTGACCCATTGATAACCTATTTAAAGAGATATTCTTCTTAATTATCTATTCCTCACTTAATTTGCTTATACCCTTCACTTAATTTGCTTATACCCTTCACTTAATTTTCTTATAGCTTACTTTTAATTCAGCTGACTTGATGTAATATTAATTACTCTCAATTTGGTATAATATAATTGCAATTAATTAATGATTTCCAAAAATAATGAAGAAAATATTATGGAGTATAATGGAGCTCGAATGTTTACAATTCTTCTTACATAAAAAAAATGTCTATTTCTAATATCAACAAAATTGTTGGTGCAACGCGTCAACACCTACTTTCAATTTTAGAATCCCAACATCTTTAACGATAAGGGTATAAGAAAATATCTGTTTCTTATTTTCTAATGAACCCCTATTGTGAATTATGGTAAGTTACAATCAATATCATAGTGTTAATATGAATATATTTAATTAATTAATTACAAATCAATAAATTCTATCTAGTATATATCGATAACACGTGATTGACGTGAAAGACTAATGCTGGAATTAATGAAAAGCAACAATACGAAATGTAATTTATCTTAAACTATGGAGTAAAGAAGAAGCTAGTAACAAAAACTAAGTAAACAAATAATAGTAAAACCTAATTAATATTAATAAGCTAGTTTTTCGACAAATAATTTTTTTTTTCTAGTGAACCCCTATTGTTAATTATGGTACTAGTGTACTGCTTTGGAATTCACGTTAATAAGGTAAACTAATACTACCAATTGTAATTAATCTTAAACAAGCTACGGAGTAAAGAATAAAAAAGAAGCTAATTACAACTAAAGAAAGAGTAAATTCTAATAATATTCTCTGTTGAACGAAAGAAAAGAAACCATTATAATGATAATGACCATGTACTACTACTAGCATTGCTCCTATGTCTCTGTTCTTACAAAGATACAAAGATCAAGCACCTCTAGGCTCTAGCATCTCTCGTCGGCGGCAACTCGAATCGACAACTGCTAGTATGATCTTATGCCTTTGTTCTTACAAAGATTCAAATATTAAACCAGTAATAAGAAATATTTTATGAGTGTATAATTTTAATGTCTATGTACATAGCGATAAATTCAATGAAGTATAAATTGATAACACATTAACCTCTACCAAAAGATAATTGTCGAAATTAATGATAAACAACGAAAAGGTACAAGTAATAATACTCATTAAAAATTAAAGAATGAAAAAAAAAAAACACATTATTACAAGGCTAATTTTAATGAGAGTTATATAACTTGCTTTGGATTTCACATTAATAAGGTAAACTAATAATACAAATTGTAATTAATCTTCAACAAACTAATATTCTCTGTTGAAGGAAAGAAAAGAAACAATAATAATGACCATGTACTACTAGCAATACTCCTATGTCTTTGTTCTTGCAAAGATACAAAGATCAAACACCTCTAGCATCTCTCGTCGGCGGCAACTCGAATCGACAAAGTGGGCAGAAGTGATTAATCTTGAACCACTTATCAACACAAGCCGGATGAAAGCAATGTTTACAAGGCGAATACTTAACATCATCACCTACTTTCCACCCTTCAAGACAAACCGAACAAACTTCACCACTATTAGCCAACTCTTCACTAGCTTTCTTGATTTCCAAGCTTGCCACGAATGACTCGTCTGCAGGCACCACACCCGTCGGTATTACTCCATCCTCGGTCATGTCTTCGACGCCATATAAGATTATAAGGAACTCTCTGTTGTATCTGAATTCCGTACTAGGATCTTCCATTCCCATGAGAAAATCTTCGGCAGTAATACGAAAAATTGTTGCAACAAGTTGTTGATCATCATGGCTTAATGATGACATCGTTGATTAATTATGCTAATGAAGTAATGATCGAAAGTGTTCTTGTTTGACGATGTCCGTCCGTACCTCTACAATATAGTCTCACGTCGTAAATAAAAATAATCAGCCTACAGTTTTCTTTTTGGTGATATTAATAAGTATTGATGAAAGAAAAAAGGTAAGTTTGGTGGTTTATAACTTTATATTATTAAAGGAATACATCATATCGATCTTATGAATTATGATTATGTATAGTATATTTTAGGATCTTAAAGGATAAGATTATGCTAAGTAGTTTCGATTAGTTTCCTAATTTTTTGTAGGTTCATTTAGCTTGTTATACAAGGCTTTTGTTCTCTTCACCTTAAAAATAAATAATATTAAGTAAAAATATTTTCATTTTAGTAAAAATAAGTCCAGTTCAGTAAATTAAAGTAAAAATAATTTCAATTCAATAAAAATAAGTTCAGTTCAGTAAAATTTAGTTTTCTTAAAAAAGAATTAAAATATAAAATCAGTAAAAATAATTTCAGTTCAACAAAAATAATTTCAGTTCAGTAAAATTAATTTAAGTTCAGTAAAAATAATCTAAGTTCAGCAAATTAAATATAATTATGTTTCAATAAAAATAATTTCAGTTCAACGAAAATAAGGTGAAGAGAACGGGGCCTAACTGTTATGTTATGTGCTTTTACCCTAAGATTATTGGGAGACAAATAATATTTTTGATATTAATTAGAAAAAATTGTCAAACAGAAAACAATACCTGTTGGTTTTCAATAAAATTTTATTGACATGATGTAAATACTCTCAATTTGGTATGAACGGATGTTTACAAATCTGGCTTCGGCTTATGACATCTAGTTCTAGAAAATTAAGATCGATGAAACTTGTAACTGTACAGACTTGTAAACATGGAAAGAACGAATCGAATTTTGCACAAAAAAGGTCAAAACAAGGGGAAGTTGACATGTTAATCAATTAAATATTGGAACTCACTGCAACTCATTATATTTGTTATACCGTAAGATTTTATTAATAAAAATTATTTTACAGTTTATTATCTTAAGTGTCCATGCACATACATTACAAAATCACAAATTCAATCAAATATATAATCAATTTCATTGTTCCAAAAAAAAAAAAAAACAATATTAATATTAGTTCATTTATGAATCCAATTAATTACAAATCAAATCATCAAGATAATTGTCAGAATTAATGAAAAACAACGATAAAAGGTAAAAGTAATAATACTCGTTACAAAGATTTTAAAAAGAATACATAAAGTTTGTAAATAATAATAAAAAAAAAATAACAAAGATAATTTTAATTTGATATCGGAAGCATTTACTACAAGGAAAACGAATTGAATAATACACTTAATATCTAATTTTTTCTGACAAACTCTTTAACAAACCTAATTTAATTTGTTTTTGTGTTTTTAAATTTACTTTTCACTTTTAAAATTTTAAATTATTATGCCATCTTCTTTTTATTTTGCTAAATTTCGATACTAAATTTATTTCTAGCCTCTTTTTAAAACCTTTTATTAATTAAGGGTATGAAACTTAAGTGAAAATTGATACTTAAAAAGTTTTTTTTTTTTCTTGAAATTGTTATTTCCATAAAAAGGGTTGGTAAAAAAAAAACCACAAAAAACGAACTAATTTAAGTATTCGCGAGTAATTTGTCGGAAATTTTTGTACTTTTGGGGTTAAATGTCGCATGAGATAATTTTATTTACCAAATTGTCGCCAGAGTTATTTTTTTTTTACCATATTGTTACTAAGGGTCTTTTTTATCACCAATTTGGTCTATTGACCCTTTTATGATATTAGGCTGATCTTAACTCATATTAGCCTTATACAAAGTATGACATACTCTAAATTGTAGCATTAAATGACCTATGACCAATGCGTTCATGAGGTTTTTCACTTTTGTCTTTTAGAGTAACTGCAGTTAGGTAAGTAATGTTAGGTAATTGTATTTTGGGAGGAAAAAGGTGTAATACCCCTCATGATTGCTTTAAAGGAGTTTAATATACTACTCATACCAATAAGGCACATCTTCTTTTTTGGGGAGCTCATTTGCCAAGATACTCCAGAATTAAGCGTGCTTGGTTGGGAGTAGTCTTGGGATGGGTGACCTCCTGAGAAGTTTTCTCGGGGTGCGCATGAGTGAGGACAAAGTGCGCGCGGAAGGACTCGTGTTGGACTGTGAGCACAGTTGTTGGCCCTTGATGCGCATTTCGTGACAATAGGCCCCTCCATAATTTGTTTGGGATCGGGGTGTTACAAAAGGTCCTAAGTTGCCAGTTGTCTAAAATACAATAGGTTACTTGTCAAAAAACTTGTAGTGATGAAGCTGATCCGTAGTTTTAGTCATAACATCTGTTAGAAATCCAGAATATTCTATACTATTCTGTAATGTTTTGTAAATCTCTCCTCTTTCTATATTTAGGATAAATAAATCAAATCACTCTGATTTTTAGAGTGATTACAGGCTGTGATTAAGGAGTGATTACAGACCGCAATTGTAGCCCAATTAGGCAAGTAGAACTTGTATAAATGCTGTAACCCGAGCATTTTTGAATACATAGAAAACCATTGAAAACCTTAAAACAGTGTAGTTTATTTTTAAGTTGGTATCAGAGCCAGGTTCGTTTTTCCGGTAATCGGAGACGATCAGGCAACATCATCTACCATGGAAACAGACAGCAAAGAGGTTGTACAACAACCAGTGACCATGGAAGCTTTAATGCAACTTTTATCAAAGTTAAACACCACTAAAACAACCACAGACATTCCAAATCAACCCATCCAAATCCCAGAAAAACTAAACCATAAAAATTTTATGAAATGGTCCAAACTGATGCAGTTGGAACTCGAAGGCAGGGGGAGGTTCAATCATATCACAGCCTCACCACCGCTGCCTGAGGACCCAGAATACACCAGATGGACTCAGCGGGACTCGTTGGTAAGGTCATGGATTATCGTAAACATTGATCCAGAACTGCAAAATCAGTTTTTGGATTACCCAACCGCAAGAGACTTGTGGAAGGGGATTGAAACTTTATACGGAGGCAGCAAAGACGGACTCCAAATCTTCGACCTTACGGTCCGGGAAAACAAGATGCAGCAAGGGATAGACCCAGTAGAGGTCTATTATAGCAAGTTAACAACAATATGGAAGGAAATTGATAGAAGAGTTCCTAATCCAATGACTAGCCCAAATGACAAATATACCTTTAATCGAACAACAGGTTATACCAATTTCTTGCCGGACTTGATGACTCATTCGACAAAGATCGGAGGGACATCCTCAACAGAGAACCCCTTCCAACCCCTGAAGAGGCGTTCGCCACCATCAGAAGAGAAGTGGCTTGCCGCGGAATCATGAAATCAACCGGAACAACCACCCCGATTTCCTCATCTACCCAATCATCGGAGATCGGGAGTGGTTTTGCGGCCAAAGGAAGGGCAGAGAAACCGGTTTTCCGGCGAGAAGATGAAAAATCGGGACTCAAGTGTACTCATTGCGGCGGTACTCGCCACACCAAGGATGGGTGCTTCAAAATAATAGGGTACCCGGAGTGGTGGACTGAACGAAAGAAGAAAGGAGGAAGAGGTAGTACCGGTAAGGCAGCTCTGAGCACCGGCGAAGCACCAGCGACAGGTGAAGGAGGAGTAACGGCAGCAGCAGCCACCACTGCTACAAAATCAGGTTTGAAAGAAAATAAAGAAGAAGGTATGAAGGATGAAACCTTAGACTCCTATTTATATGACTACAAAAATCAGGAGAGTATACCTCTTAAAAATTCATTTCAGCCCATTTGTGTTAAGCCCAAAACCGTGGACCTAGAACAACAGATTGAGCATGTGGACTTAGAACAGAAATTTAGTGAACCTACCCATTCAAACTCTCATAAAAAATCTGTTGGCTTAATGTGCAAACCCAATAAAAATAATAGGTGGATTTTCGATTGTGGAGCAACATACACTATGACTTTTGATATCAACGATCTCGAAAAAATCCATACACCAAAAAAGGACCATATACAAACAGCCAACGGAGAGGTAATTAAAACAAAGGGGTCGGGTGTTTTCAAAATTTCTGATAACATCAAACTACCTAATTGCCTCTTTATACCGGACTTATCCCATAAATTACTTTCTATTAGCCAATTGACAAAGGACTTAAACTGTACTGTTCTTATGAATTCTCGTGGATGTACTGTTCAGGATTCTCGGACAGGGAAGATTATTGGGCATGGTACTGAAGAAGGCGGTCTGTATTATGTTACTCGGATGCCTCAACATGGTAAAGCAGCGCTTGTTCGCGGGACAGTTGAACAACAGCTTTGGACTTGGCATAGGCGTTTAGGTCATCCGTCTCTTGGGTATTTAAAAAAACTCTTCCCTTCCCTTTCGAGTTCGAATTTTGTTTTTGATTGTGAGGCTTGTATTGTTGCAAAGAGTCATAAACATTTTTATCCAAGTAGTACGAGTCGAACTGATAAACCGTTAATTTTAATCCATTCTGATGTATGGGGTCCAGCTCCAGAGTTTAATAAACATGGTTTTCTATATTATGTTACCTTTATCGATGATTGCACTAGGATGAGTTGGGTTTATTTTCTTAGAAATAAGTCTGATGTCTTTAACACCTTTGTCTCCTTCTACAAAATGGCCCAAACACAATTTCAAACCCAAATTAGAATTCTCAGGTCTGATAATGGAACCGAGTATAAAAACATTGATATGGAAACCTTCATCCAAACAAATGGCCTTATTCACCAAACCACATGTCCTGACACTCCGCAACAAAATGGAGTAGCAGAAAGAAAAAACCGAACTCTCCTGGAAATGACTCGGGCCATGATGATAGAATCTTCTGTTCCTGCTTATTACTGGCCTGAGGCCATTTCCACAGCCAATTACCTCACCAACCGCCTACCTACAAAAAGCCTACATTTTTCTACTCCATTAGACACCCTTAAAAACCATGTCAGTGTTCCT